ATAAGGTTTCGGAAGCTATAATCCGAAACCCGAAACTTTCGGATTTTGGTGGAAAGGGTTTCGGGGCCAACTCTAATTTGTGTTAGTAAATATATAAGTTAATATTAAATTTAGACGTTAGGATTAAGTTAAAGAAAGTTTTTTGATGCTGTGCATTTTTACTTAGAGTACAAGCACTTTATGCTTAGACATTTTGAACCAAATAAATAAAAATTCATCAATACTAATTACTCTTTGTTTACTGCAGCATCATATGTAAGCAGATGCATAGCATACATCCGTTACTATGAACGTTGCTAATGTCAACGCCTAATTAGCTTACAAAAAAATTTCTATACAAATTAGATCTTGAATACGGTTCCTCTTTATGCCTACATCAACAGATTGACATTAATAAGTAGTGACGACATTATTATGACCATAAATAACGTTAACGTTTTCCATTTTATCTCTAGATCTCCTTCTTATGTAAAAGCCTATAAGTACACCGATAATGATTAAAATTACAATGGGTGCTGCAATATATAATTTTTTTTTCATATCATCAATGCTTGATTCTGTATTGTAAAATTCAGAAGTTATGAATTAATTGAATTTGTTATAATCATGTAGTTAGCTCATTAATATGCGAGTTTCGTGGAATTTGTAGATTATTACCTGCAGATGAAATATTGGATTGAGTTGATTGGGATGGAACATTAGGTAGAACATTATTAACCTGAGTTGGAGTAGTTGGAGTAGCTGTAGCAGTATTCGAAACAATAAATAGATTCGAATATGTGTAATTATAAGAAGTTTCGTCCATCATAAATAATCTATAACTTCCTGCCCCAACAGAAACAATCCAATTTTTCGCTTCTTTTTGTCAGGTCTACATTGGTATCTATTACAGTAATCGCTGACGTTTGTGAATCCATTATCCCTAACTCAACATGCGTGGATTGAGTACCACCAAATGTCCAACTGATTACAATAACTGTACCCGTCTGAACATTTTGAGGCGTATTGAACACTACTATTATATTTAAATAAACGAATATTATTAGCTTATAACTTCATGGTACAGTATAAATATCATTGAGAAATATAGATTCTACCAAAAATTTCTTATAACCGGTTCGAAAAAATAAAAATATTCATTTAAATCGGATTAATGTATAGACAGAAATCTTAAAGTATTATGGTAGTAATCTATATTCATAGTCGAAAATATAAATTAATAAAAAATTCATACAGTAGTATGCCTCTGCGACGCAACAATAAATAGCGAAAACAACTAATATAAACTTGTAATTAGTCATGTTAAAGAATCGAGAAAAAAACAAGACTGTGAGATTTATCTAGTTTCATTATTTTGTGTACTACAATGCTAGTTTGTCGGTCAGGTGTTATAAATAACAAGTTCCAATTTCTAATTTGGATATGTTTGGGTGTAAAATATTTTTCTTTTGTAAAGTCATTGAGTTCTAAAAATACAAAAAATAAAAAGATCTATCTTCATTGAATTATTGACTAAAAAATCAAAATTTGGCTACAAAACTTACATAACTTCAAAATTATTTTGTTAAAAATTCATACTTCTCTAATAGAGCAATCTGTACGCTAAAAAATAATAGTCCGAGCCATGTTTATGCGCTGATTTACAGTACAATTACAAAATTATTGAAGTTAGAGCTAGTGATTATATTAACTTAAGATTTTACCAGATTATATAGTAAAGTCGCTCAAGGAAAAACTTTTTGGTAAAGCACCATCGGTGGTTTCTTATACGGGTTTTTGAGAAATAGACACTTTTGACAAAACGAACATCTGTTTTGAATTTTCTAGACAGTGTTACGTGCGTATACCTAATCTTGAAATTGATTTGTAGTTCAGGACATCTACGCCATAGGATCTACATAGAATTCATATGTGCGTCCAAAATGTATAAACAAAACCCTGTTTTAGAAATTTATATGCAATAATCTTGGCTCAATGTCAAGATTAACTTTCGGAAATTTCGTCCTGATACGTAGTATTAGCATAGTATGTGCTTTTAAATGCAGTTTATAGAGCTATACTTTTATAGTGTCATAAGAAAAATTGTATTTCACGTGAATTAATCGTTAGTTTTTTGTAACAAAAAAGTATTTAGAAAGGTGTTGTATTTAGTGTAGTGTAGGCACGTATGTACGTACGTACCTGATGCACCAAAAAATTTGGCGTGCACTTCGTCAAAATCTATGCCATTGCTACCTTTGAAAAATTTTATTCCTTAAAACATGTCTTAAACCACTGCACTATCATGATCTGATTGCCTTACTTTAACTTCCCTTAAACCATTAAATCGTACCACCATGATCACTGTTAATCCCTTCCTGAATTATTATCCCTATATCCAGTCTATGTTAACCCCCTCTAATCTTTCTTTGTCGGCATGCAGCTGATCATTTCTAATAAAGTTTATGATCAGCGTTAGTCATCTTATTTATTGGTTGCTAACTTACTCGTGATCTGCCACATTTCCTTTTCGACTAAAACAGAAGGGATTTTCGTATAAAAATTTTATATGTTCTGATCGTTCTGTTCAGAACTTTCTGAACGTTCTGAACGTACCCCAAAAATTTTTTTATCGTATTCGGGTTGAATTTATAATTTTTTACCTATCACGTGAATCTCATTGATTTATACAATAACATTTCGCTTTGTTATATTTATTTAATCACTAACTAATTTCTGATTTCTAAATAGATTAGATTTTTTTTTACCCCTATCATAAAAAAAATTTTTTATTTTTTTTTATACCATTTTTATTTTACTATATTCGTTTTCTAAATCACTTATATAAATACTTGTGCAAAAAAAACAAAAAACTTAATATAAAATAAAAAAAATCTTGTATTTCATGTAAATTTCTTCAATAAAGGTAAACATTTGCCCACACTATTTCATTTTTTTCCCCCTTGTATATCAAAATAAAATCTTGCTTATGCTCACTTATTCGTTTGATTAATCCTTTACACTAATCTTAAGTTGCCATTACAGTGACACAAGGCTGTAGAAATTACGTAATTATATATTTTGGCAATTCTAAAAATCGACCTGCATAAATTAATTAATTTTTCTCCTAATAGATTGGAATAAATTACCTTGATAGGAATAAT